AATCAGATGAGATCTGAAATGTCGCTCACTTAACACAGTACCTGGCCCAGGACATATTTCTCTTCTTTTCTCATCACGTGCCCGCTTCTTTCCATCTTCCTTCTCCTTCTTCCACAAAACCATTCTATTCTACGTGGCCTTTAAAGTCGATATGGTAGTGCTAGAGGGAAAGCAGATTGGAAAATCACTTTGGAATAGTGTTTGGCAACATCTGCTAAGGACAAATAAGCTATATCCTGTGACCCAGAACATCCACACTAGGTCTACACCTAACAGAAATACACACAGAAGACCCTGTTACAGGAAAGTTCAGAGCCACGCTCTTCAAGATGGCCCCCATCTGAAAACAGCCCAAATGTCCATCAGCAAAATTGATCAATAAATTGTGGTATAGTCATACATTGGAATACCATGCAGAATGACAATAGATGAACTATGGGTCTATGCTACAGTATGGTTAGAGCTCCAGAATATATTGTTGAGCCCAAAGAAATGGGACATAAAGGGGTATGTGCAATAATATCCATTTATATGAAGTTCAAAAACTGTCCGAACTAATTGATGGGGTTAAAAATTCAAGATCGTGGGTAACCTTGAGGAGGTTAAGGAAGAGCCTTCTGAGGTTCTGGTACTATTGTTTCTTGAACTTGAACTAGATGCCTGAGAGTGCTAAGTTTGTGAAAATTCATCAAGCTGTACACCTATGATTTGTACACTTAATACTTAAGAAAAGGTGTATGGTACGCCACAGTGAACATAGAAGTTATGAAATTTGGGGTGCCTGGGTGGCTCAGTCAGTTGGGTGACTAACTCTTGACTTCAGTTCAGGTCTCAATCTCAGGGTTTTTGAGTTTGAGTCCTGAGTCAGGCTCCATGTTGAATGTGGAGTCTACTTAAAAAATTATGAAATTTGACAGGTGAACTTTTCCTGTTTAGAAAGCACCCACATGAAATTATTCACCAAGAGCTATCGTTTTCTCTCAAGTTTCTCTGGCATGGTACCCTCTAGTATTCTGTAAGAAAGGAGTGTGTATTTTCTGCCCCTTCACTAGTTGTTCCAGCTAGAGAATCATTACCCAGCTGTCAGCAAGGACATCTATGCAATCCGTCTTTCCTAAGTCTTGTTTCCTAGAATTGAAAGAAACTTTTTTTAAAGAAATAATTTATTAATTACTTATTAATTTGTTTTGACTATGGGTAGAGTCTAATTTTTAAAATTTTTAAAGGATTTATTTATTTGAGAGAGTATGAGAGAGAAAGAGTGAGATCATAAGCAGGGCAGAGGGAGAGGGAGAAGCAGACGGAGCAAGGAGCCTGATGCAGGACTCGATCCCAGGACCCTGGGATCATGACCTGAACCAAAGGCAGACACTCAACTGACTGAGCCACCCAGGTGCCCCTAGAGTCTAATTTTTTAATCAAGTGTTTACTGTCTGAAATGATAGACTTTAAATGGTTTTTTAAAGATTTATTTATTTATTTATTTTAGAGAAAGAGTGAAAGCATGGTTGGGATGGTCAGAGGGAGAGAGAGTGTTAAGCAGACTCTGCACAGAGCCCAATGTGGGGCTCAATGTCACAACCCTGAGATGACCACCTGAGCTGAAACCAAGAGTCATATGCTTAACCAGCTGTGCTACCCAGGAGCCCCTGAAATGATAGACCTGGAAAGGATAATTCATATACACACATTTATTATGATAGGATTTTAAAAATACATATTTATTTCTTTTTCCTGTTGATAGACAAGTAGGGTTGCTTTTCTTAAGTCGTTCAGCTGGTGAAATTTAATGGGGTTTTTCTGAGAGAAGGCTATACAGAACAGAGCCATTGCTCAGTAAGACACTGTATTTGTGAGATTGTTCAAAGGACTTCTGATTAGTGCAAACTTTTCATATCCAAATAGCTGGAAGGAGTCTCCTTTTTTTTGTGACTAAAAATATCAGAGGGACTTCTATGAATAATGACATAAATGGATTCTTAGTGCTAAGGGCAAAGAATGTGGGAGATAACTATTGGATTGGTTCTTAACTTTTTTCCTGGCCAAATCACAGTTATAAGATGATCTTTAGTTGCTGGCCACATACTAAATAAATTTTTAAATTACCGTCAGTGCTTCTTTTTCTTTTTTACAGCTAAGCAGATTCATGGCTGTGGTGTGGGTGTCCTGGAAGAGCTGACAGTTAAAAGTCCAGCATTGCACAACTCAGTGCATGGAGATCGTTAATTATAATTTTGAGGTGTTTTTGCACAACTGAAGTAGAGTGTACTATGTGTCATTCCCAAGTTAACAATCATTTCACTATTGCCTGCTAGACCAAGGCTTAGGCCTAGATTTCGAGGCACATAAATGGCCGCACTTTGTCTCTCCAACCTTATTTCTTATTAGCCTATCAATTAGCAGACTCTTCTCATATTCTCCTACATCCTGCTCATTCATACCCCTGTGACTGGATTTATGTCGTTCCCTCTTTCTTATGCCCATCCAACTTCTTTTTTGTTTTTTTTTTTTCAAGATTTTATTTATTTATTTGACTGACAAAGAGTGAGCACAAGCAGAGGGAGCGGGGGAGAAGAAGCAGGATCTCCACTGAGTAGGGAGTCCCATGAAGGGGTCGATCCCAGGACTCTGAGATCATGACCTGAGCGGACGGCAGACACTTAACCAGCAGAGCTACCCAGGCGCCCCTACCCAATCAACTACTATACTTCTTTCGAGTCTCATATAAATTAAAAAAAAATCCATAAATACAATTTGTTAGTTAATAAGTCAGAACCCAAAGAGAAGGAAATGCAGTCCCGGTATTTTATGATCTCTTGGGGGTGGATGGTAAACCAGTTGTCCTTTCCCTTTCTGGACCACAGAGTTGTTAGATGGCCTCTCTGAGTCAAATTTCCTAATAAGCATTTACTGAGTGCCTGTGTAGGTCAGGTTTTGTTCGGGGTGTTGGGAATACAGGAATGATTAGGACCATTTCCCTGCCCTCCCTCGGAGAACCGGTAGTCTAGAGGATCATAAGCAAATAATTTCACATGATGTAATGTGAGTGTGGGGCTCATAGGACTATAGAGGACAGGCATCCGAACCCAATGTGCCCTAATTAGGGTACAACCATGTGGAAAGACCTGGAGGAGGTGACACCTAAGACTAAGTAGTTACCCAAATGAGTAGAGTAGGAATTTCCAGAAGAAATAGCATGAACAAAGGCCCAGAGGTGAGAAACGGCGCGCAAGCTTAGGAGTTTGAGGCAGAGAATGGCAAGAGCTGCACGACAATGGGAAAATATCCCTCAAACAAATAAAAAACAATATTTTCTCTCAAATACCTTTTGTTTTAAATGTTATGCCCCTGATGCTCTAAGCTCTCCAAGTTGCCAGACATTTCTCGACTGCGTAATAGGCAAGGAGAATTGTTAGTTGTTTCCTCTACACCCCCCTACCTCTGTCTTGATATCCCCATAATCTATTTATCCCTAAGACTCCTATTCTCTTTCTAGTCCCACAGTCACCATTTGTTTGCGGTACCCCTTGGCGCGTCCCTTTAATTTCTATTTGATAATTGGGCACATTCGATTAGATTCGCGTTTCAGCTCATCCTTTTACAAAGAGGGTTTTATGTCCCTTTGCCTCTCCTCTCTTCTAGGTCTGAGACAGGCCAATAATTCCTTCATTTTAATCTTTAGGTCACACCTAGTTGTGTGTATCTAATAAAAATGGGCGGGCATGCGCATGCGTGCGCACATGCGCGCGTGCGCAAGCGCGCACACGCACACAGACATAACCAGCCTGTGCTATGTTCAACACAAAGCCAGGTGAAATTCATTAATGCTTTCTCATGACCACCTTTCCACTTCCCTCGTGAGCTTTCCTCTGCTTTACCTGCCCAGACTTCTCGGGGTGTATTTCCGTTGCAAGTGAGAAATTCACATCGGCAGATGGAGAACAAAGGAGCTGCACACGGGCTACAGGTTTTGACTCTCCGCTGGTTCGTCTGTGTGCCCCGATTCCACCCTCTCTGACCTGAATCAGATGAAATCCTTTGAGCTTTCTGAGAAAAAGGTGCTGCCCTGGTAAACAGCGTTAGAGTAATTCTCTCCTCCCTGGCCAAGCCGAGAGGTTTCCTCATAGTTTACTTTCTAGGCCTTACTCTTGCAAAGTGGAGTCCTTTGTTAGGGTTAGAATTTCCCATAAACCCGCTGGATAATTTGTTTTTGTTTGCCCTCTTTGAAATACTACACAAAGCAATCTCTGTAAAGGGCAACGCTGTCCCTGAAGGCTGAGAAAGGTCCCTGGGACAGCGTCTCAAAGTTGCTCTTTTCAGGCAGAGCCAGCTGAGTAACCTTATCTCAGGTGGCTGCTTTTCAAGGTGCCCAATTCGGGAGCTTTCCCTCTGAGAGCAGCGTTTGCCCCAGGGGATCACGTGCTTTGGAGTGTGGGGCAAAACGGGGAAAATCCCAGGGCCCAGGATGATAGGGTCTGTTCAGGAGAATCTGGGGGAACAGAACGCACCCCACAGACCATGCCCTTCACAACACCCCCCCCAGCCCCCTCCCCCGCCCCCCCAGCGCCGGTGGAGATCAGCACTTGGCGTCAGGACAGAGACCAGATTAAGAGAGAAGGTTAGGAGGAAGCAGGCAACCCGGGAAAGGAGGCAGGCGAGATTGCGAAGGCACCTGCAGGGCTCTGAGTCAAGGGCTGTCAGTCACTTGGGCTCAGGCTGCTCGACTCCTAACAGCCCAGCCCTTTCCCGGGGCCGGGACAGGGGATTGCTACATGCCAGCTTACCTGGGGAAAAACCAGAGCCTCACTTTGGTCCCTTCCGGTAATTGACACGACAGGGCTCCCTGAAGGGGGAGGGGAGAGCTCCGTCCATAAATGGTCCCACCCCTGGGCAAGGTGGCTCACTCAGGCAAGTAGCGACTGGGGAGTGTGCACCTGCCACCAGTCGAGCTAAGCCAGACTGTGAGACGAGGCGGAGCAAGCTGAGGGAGTGAGTCAACCATGGACAAGTTGAAGTGCCCGAGCTTCTTCAAGTGCAGAGGGAAGGAGGTAGGGGTCTGGAAACTGTGGGAAGGGTGGGGGGCCTGGGAAGGGAACACTTCAGGGGAGGCGTCTCAGGTTTTGCCTTCTGTGGCTGTTCCTGGTTCTCCACCTTTCTCTTCAGTTGCCTTCAAGTGTGCCTGAGATGTCCCTATAGGGTAGAGGGAAAAGAGAACAACTCTTACCGAGGTAACCAGAAGACTTAGGATCAGTCATCTCAACCTCTGCCTTGGGTATGCCCACAGAATCCTGGTTTTTGTCCCTCACCAGACTGTGTCCATATGCTGGAGGGAAATGAGAAAATGCATTGTCCTTATTTGACCCGAGGAAACATCCCATACCCCAGAGCAGCTAACAGGTTGGGAGGGAACGCCTTCCCTCTGAGGTGGAGAGAGAGCTACTCCACCTGGTGGGACAGGGGAATTTGTCTCTGAATATTATTCTGTGGCTTCCAGCCAGGGATAGGGAGAGAAGTTAAATTTACCTTAACTCGGTACATCCTAAACTATCAGCCTATAGGAAAAGGAGTCTATAAAGTCTTTGTTTTAGTAGAAGCTATATTGGTGTCTTTTTCTCAAAGATCTCCTGCAAGCTCAAGAGTGTTGATTTTACCTAATTCATTTTTAAGTCTTCTTTATCTGAAGCCTTATTTGTCCACCTTCGTTTGTCCTTCATGCTGAGTACCACATGTAACCATCCAAAATTTGGATGATCTCACCCAAAGAAGTAGTAATTATAGCCACCTAAAGAGGTTTTCAGTTTTGGTTTTGTTTTGTTTTGTTTTTCATTGCAAGGGATAAATGTTGTAAAGTAAAAACAGCCATTAGCAGAAATCTCCTCAACCTTTGGAAAGTGTTTCTCTCAGCTAAGGCTTTTGGGTTCATTCTCCCCCCACACCCCCCCCAATCTATGTTTGTGTGCACACCCACATATGTGTGTAAAATTACACGTCTGTGGATTTTTAGTAGCAGACAGACAAACTCTTGATATTTTCTCTTTCCTAGAAAGTGACGGCTTCATCTGAGAATTTCCATGTTGGTGAAAATGATGAGAATCAGGACCGTGGTAACTGGTCCAAAAAATCGGATTATCTTCTATCTATGGTTGGATATGCAGTGGGATTGGGGAATGTGTGGAGATTCCCCTATTTGACCTACAACAATGGCGGAGGTATTCCCCACCCCCAACTTCTTTCCCTTCCAGTTAAAATGATGTGCTGTGTGGCTTCTGAGGCTGTTTAAGAACTAAGGGAAGGTGCATGACAGTTTGGGTTGTTAGACTATGAGTTGCTAGGTCAAGTTAGGAAGCTGGCTTTGCAAAAATCTTCAGTCATAAACTTGATAAAAGTTGTACATTTAACACTTCTGCATCTCTGGTTTAGGATCCAATGTAGTCTTCCATTATGACTTGCTTTTCTTCATTTATACATGTTCCTGTGATCATCTTTTCAGACTCAAGCTGTGTTTGGCTTAATTTAAGACTGAATCTAAGCAAGAGGCTGGGGATTTTCATTCTAATTTGAAGCTCAAGTATACCAGTGGTTTAAGTAGAGTAAGGCATTGCATTTTGGAAATACAAATGTGGAAGAAGCTGATAAAAAAGTAAAGGTTTAGTATTTTAAGCTGCAGTATTCAGTTACATGTATTCCAAATTGGATTGACCATGTACGTAAAGGATCCTTCTAGAATGTGCAACAGACTTTAGTTCAAGACTAGGTGGTTAATTTCTGCAAAATGATACTGTTTATACCTCAGAGATCATTAAGGAAGACTCAATTAGAACAAGGAGAAAAAAAAAATAACTCTGAGGTGACACACAAAGGGAAACAAAATGAATTGCCCAATTCTCTAGTAGTGTCGAAACAACTTTTCACTTACACCATATTTTATTTACTCATAATTACAGGTTCTATTAGAAGTGTAGAGGTGACATGCCCTTAGATTTCATAATTGGGAACCAGTGAAACTGTGCCACTATAATTATTTTCCTTGGTATAATAGGATTTTCTGTGGTGATGTTTCAATCTTGTAGTCCTTGTTAATTGGTTGCCTTAGAACATTCATATTGGTCTGTGGAGACTTAAGAGAGAAGCTCTGTTTATCAAACACTTTAAGTGTTGGTGGCAATAAATTCCCCTCTCTGGAGCCTACATCGTTTAGTCATGGGTTGGGTCTAAGTTTGAACTGGAAAAATGAGTTAGGAATCCCAGGCCTGTAGGTGTCTAAGTCCTAAGGTCTCCTGTAGTGAAGAGCATTCATACTCCTTTTCAGCCTCTAGTATTCAGGTTCAGAAATTTCCTTGACTTGTCATCATACATCAGCCCAGTGGTGGCCATAAACTTCTGGTAACTATATTAAACTAGGTTTAATAGAGAAATTGAAATGTAGCACCCTTTCCCCAAATGCTATTATTTATTGTATCCTATTATCTCTCTCACCTTTTCCTCTAAAAATTAATATCTCACATCAATTCTCAGTTTTTTTTAAAGATCGTATCATTTGGGCAATGCGTAATCTAGGCTCTTTTGATCGCTTCTTTCTCTGCTGTCCAAATGGAGGAGAGGAACACGAAATTCAGATTTGCAACATGTCAATAGATCAGATTTTTAAATATGCTTAGGTTTGGATAACTATGGCTAAAATCTGGAATCATTTTTATCTATAGATTCTTTTATTAGTTTATGAAAGAGAAGCATCATACAAGCACAGGGTCTGAGACAGCAGTATCAACAATTTGGGACCAGGGTATTATATTAGCAGTTTACCAATTATGGCTGATAATAAAAACAATAATATAATGGGTAAAAAGCTATATATACCACTCAGGAAAATAATCCTTTTTTTAAAACACACACACACACACACACACACACACACACACACACAACTATTTATAATGGGCTAGTAACATTTCCCTTACTGTTGTAGACAGGGATAGTCTGTATTACTTTTCTTCATATTTATCATTGCTAAGACTAAAACTTCTATTAGTCATAGCAATGATGGTATGTACATTGCAACATCTATAAAGGCATATTTGTCTTTATGTTCTAGTGACTAGGGACTTGTACATAACAAGTATTTTATTGTCTCATTATTTTTAATGGAATATATTTTGAGGGTTGGGAAAATGTAATTCCCAGGTATGATGTTACGATATCATAATATGAAGAATACACGAGGACAACAGTGCCATGTAGGTCAATGACATATATGTAATCCAAAAGCCCATTTTTAATCTATTGATCCCATTTTCTTATTAAACTTTGTTAAGACTTGTCAAGTACTTGATCAATAAGTTTAATATTCTGTCCCTGCTTCTACCTACAATCTGGCCAAAGTTCGAATGAACAATTTACTATGTCTCAAAAGTGGGTGGAAAAAAAGTAAAGTAATAAAATTTTAAAAACGTCAAAAAGGGATCTGGATAATCTAAATGCAGGAGCATTGGTCCTTGCTTTTAAAACGAAAGTTAACTTTTTAAGAGAGAGAAAGAGAGAGAGAGAGAGCAAGTGTGCACATGCTGATGCAGGGGAGGGGCAGAGGGAGAGAGAGTGACAGGATCGTGAGCAGACTCTGCGTGGAAGGTGGATCCCGACGCTGATCCCAGGACCCCGAGATCATGACCTGAGCCGAAATCAAAAGTCAGACACCTAACCAACTGAGCCACCCAGGCGCCCCAGAAAGTTAACTTTGAATGCATCTCCAAACTTCAGAATCTTTTAACAAAGCCAGGAAATTCTTACTAACATTTAGGAAAGACCCTTATGATGACGATTTGGAGAAGAATCCACTTAGCCGCAGCAATAACTTACGCTCTGAATCATCACATTTAGCATTTGCACCCGAAGTTTTACAAAAACAGACTATTATTTGGAGAGGAGAAAGGAGGGAAACAAACTTTGAACACATACTCTGTGCCTGCCATTTTGCCAAGTGTTTTCACAGAGGCTCTAGAGCTGAACCCTTACCACAGACTGAAGAGTTGGCCTCGCTCTCCCCATTTAGGAGGAACCCAAGGTCCAGAGAGGTTAGGTAAATTGCCCCAGGTCACATAACTAGTAAATGGTGGAGTCAGGATAGAAACCTAGGTGTATCTGACTCCGAAGTCTGTGATCATTCACCGCCTATGGATTCCTTTTTTACAGGCTATTGTTTTTAATAACCACAGCAACCTCTTTAGGTAATACTAGAATCCCATTTCACAGATGAGGAAACCAAGGTTTCGAGAAGCAACTACTTTCTCACAGAAACTAGTAAATCTGGGGCCTAAACCTAGGCCTCTGACTCCACTATATCAGAATGCTTTCAAAATGTTAGGCTGGTTATCAACGTGCCGTCGGCGTTTAGGGACCTAATAGCCCTTTGGTTCTGTTTTGCATTTTCTAGGTGCCTTCTTGATACCTTATTCAATCATGCTGGCCCTCGCTGGTTTACCTCTGTTCTTCCTGGAGTGTTCATTGGGACAATTTGCTAGCTTAGGTCCAGTTTCGGTTTGGAGGATTCTCCCATTATTTCAAGGTTGGTATTCAAATGTTTTTCTTATTGTGCCTATCGGTCTCTTGGTGTCTATAACTGTCCTCACTGGGGGGGGTGGGAAAATGTTTCATATTTGGATCTGGTAAAGGCAAAGTAGCAGATGTTGTTTCTCTGAATGTTTGCTGGAGAAATGAAAGACCAAATGCTAATCTGTATTTCTGTTTCTCTCAGGCTGAAGATACAGAAGGTGTTAGGAAGGATACCAGAGGGGGTTGTAAGGGTGTTGTTACTGTCCTACATTCACCTTTTACAGTCCTGGGGCACACAGTTATAGTCCAGCTGTGTGTTCACTTTGTGGCTCTGGCTTTTTTTCCTCCTCCATGTGCCATCTTTTGTCTTCTTGCTTTTGTGTATCTTTTAAAATGCCTCATTCAGAAAAGTTAAAGGGCAGGTCACCCTGTTTTCTGGGCTATTCCCTAATAGAAGAGGACACTGGTGAAGTTTTTCAAAGTGCCTCGATTGTTATTTAAGCATCAAACAGCCTTCCTGGTTTTGCTGTGAGCTAATGTAAAGTCTTCAACACAGCATCAAAAATAAATTGAGAGTGAGGCGAATAGAACATTGTGCGGGAATATTAAGGAAGCCACCTCAAAAGTGAGCCTTGAGCACACGGGTTGTACTCAGTATGCTAAATTGCATCTTGAAACCACAACATTCAAGAAACTTCGCAAATTTAAATTCAGATTGTTACTGAATTATTGACTTTTCTTTACACGTGCTTATAGAAATCTTGTACATTAACTCCGAGCCTTTGTCTTCTACTTGCTACAATATTGGTTTATAGAGGAAGATGTAATTAGTGGTCAGTGGGTCAATAGGATACAAGCTTTGAATAGTGTTTGCTTGTTTTTAACAACAGGACCCAGTCTGACGAGAACTTTCAGACATAATAAGAGAGTAATGGCCATGGGTGATTACTTGAACTTGACTGATCCCTACAGGTCTTCTGACCTTGATCTTAGTACCATTTTCTAGTTAATTAAAAAAATGGTTTCAGAAAGCCAGTCATCAAAATAATTTTAAATTTGAGAAAAAACTATTTAGACAGTGGTCTTTCCTCCCCACTCCCCTATCCCCCGCCGAAAAAAAGAAAAGACGCTGTTTGAACCTGCTTTCTCATTTTCAAATAGATTTTGTGGAATTTGAGATGCAGCTTTTTTATGAATTAGCAAAATAAATTGCACTTGTTTGTTTTTGATTTCAATTGTTCTCTTTTCCAGGTGTGGGAATTACGATGGTCCTGATATCCATTTTTGTGACAATCTATTACAATGTCATAATTGCCTATAGTCTTTACTACATGTTTGCTTCTTTCCAAAGTGAACTACCATGGAAAAATTGCTCAGATTGGGCAGATGAGAACTGTAGCAGGTCGCCTATAGGTAAACGTCATTTATTTATTTAAAAATGTTGTGAACGGAGAATCATTCTATCTTTTCAAGGGTTACATGATTTTCCAACCAATTTAGGGGCAATTTAAAGTGAGCCACAGGTGGGGCGCCTGGCTGGCTCAGTCGGTTGGAAGAGCATGCAACTCTTGATCTCGGGGTTGTGAGTTCGAGCCACATGTTGGGTGTAGAGATTACTTAAAGATCAAAGTTTAAAGTGAGCCATGGGTTATTGATGACAGCAGGATAAAGCATGGATAACTTTGAAAATCGATTAATGCAATATGTTATTTCTGAGGGCCACTGGTAAAGCCAAGCCATTCTTAAGAGTAGTCAGGAGAGGAGGAAGAAAGTGGGAATGTGGTAGAGATAAGCGCTATCCATGATAGTGCTATTGTGTTTCAGGAGCCCACGAGTGTCATCCACATCTTAAATGGCTGATCTTTGGAATTACATAGTATTGATTTTGTAGACTCTTAGCACTGGGATTGCCTATGTATACCAGAGAATAAAGTAATAAAGTTTTAAGGCTTCTTAGGAATTTAAAGGTGTCATTTATCTACAGAGGTTAAATAAGTCCACATACTAAAAATTCCTTAGAGCACTAAGTCCCATCCGAAATGATTGTTACTTTATGCGGTTATTACTATACATATAATCACAGTTTAAAAGGGAAGATATTTACTCATTCCAGCTTAGTAGCAGAGATTTAAGATGCTGAATGTGCATGGCTTATTTCACCTGTAAGATTTCTCTTCTGCCCTCACCAAGTAACAATCTAAATGGCTTAATAATTTTATCATTAGAACTTTCATTCAGGAGGGGTGCCTGGGTGGCTCAGTCTGTTGAGCAGCCGACTCTTGGTTTGGGCTCGGATCGTGATCTCAGGGTCCTGGGATCCAGCCCTGCATCAGACTCCACACTCAGTGAGGGGTCTGCTTCTCTCTCTCTCTTCCACGCTGCCCCTCCACTCACATGCTCTCTCTTTCTCTAAAATGATAAATAAATCTTTCAATGAACACTTTTTTCCCCTGAAAAGTACTTGTCTAAAACTAAGTATGTGTCTGTGTGTGTATTTTTTTTTATAATATTTAGTTACTCATTGTAATGTCAGTACAATTCCGGGGGATATTATCCAAGTGAATAAAAGCTGGGCAGACATCCACAATTTAAACTGCATCAATGGAAGTGAAATTTATCAGCCAGGACAGCTTCCCAGTGAACAATATTGGAAGTAAGTATGCTAGATGATCTACTTCTTAAACAGGTGTTGTTTAAAAGTTTTTGGAAATAACAATGAAATATGGATCAGCTCGTTCCTTACCTCATATAAGTAGAAAAAAAGGGGAATCAGAGCAAACTACACTTGATAGGACTCAAATGCTTACTTAGCCTGTGTGGGTAGTGGTAACTTGCAAGATCAGCTTCTAGTCAACCAATTGTCATTTATAAATTGTTTATCAAATGAGCGCAATACTGTCAGAAATGATTTGTTCAGTGCTTATCATGCATAAGTTAGGGCATTGCTCTGAAGAAAAGAATACTCAAATTTTAGAATATAATGAGCAAATTCGAATGATAAACTGTTGGGTGATGAGTAATATTGGGGGCAAAATTGTTATTTAAAGCTGCAATCTGGGGCGCCTGGGTGGCTCAGTGGTTAAGCCACTGCCTTTGGCTCAGGTCATGATCTCAGGGTCCTGGGTTCAAGTCCCGCATTGGGCTCTCTGCTCAGCGGGGAACCTGCTTTCCCCCTCTCTCTCTGCCTGCCTCTATGCCTACTTGGGATCTCTCTCTCTGTCAAATAAAATCTTTTAAAAAAAGAAAAAATAAAGCTGCAATTCTTCATTATCCATTTTGTTTATAATTGTCATTACATGAAAAAGTGGACATTTGGGCTTATATTTGTTTGCATTAACTTCAGTTGATCGCTCTCTACTCTCCTGACTTATACCTACCTCTTACTCTTACCAAAGTACCATGATTATTGCTGTAATGAGCCCTTCCTCATCTAAACGTTCATGCTCTGTGGGACTGTTTTAAAATTTGGATTTTAAAATATTTTATTTATTTGACAGAGATCACAAGTAGACAGAGAGGCAGGCAGAGAGAGAGGAGGAAGCCGGCTCCCTGCTGAGCAAGAGCCCGATGCCAGACTGGATCCCAGGACCCTGGGATCATGACCTGAGCCAAAGGCAGAGGCTTTAACCCACTGAGCCACCCAGGCACCCCTAAAATTTGGATTTTAAAATGTTCCCAAACATCAAGCTAAGAACTGAAATCCTAGATTCATGCACGTTCCTAATAGAAATCATTGATTTTTACAGAAAGCCTTTGAAAAAGGCATAAAATTGGGATCATTTAGGTTTGATGCTAACTACAAGAATGATGAATGATTTTAGATATTTTCTTCATCTTTTTACCTTGAGAAAAATAGTGTAACAAATAAAAGAAATAATCTGATGTAAGGTTATTATTTTATTTTTACATGAAAGAGCTTTGAAATACTAGGGGGCAAATCATAGCTAAAGGAATTAATAGATCTTTTATTCTAGGGTTTGGAATTTTGGATTGGCTACAGTTAACCCTAAAGTTCAGAGCCTATAGCTTTTCATTGAACTGCTTTCGCCCCTCTTACAATAGCATCAATAAAAGGCTCACATGGGGGGCACCTGGGTGGCTCAGTCAATTAAGTGACTGTTTTGGGCTCAGGTCATGATGCTGGAGTCCCAGGATTGAGCCCTGCATTGGGCTCCCTGCTCAGTGGGGAGTCTCCTTCTCCCTCTGACCCCTCCCTGTTCTTGTGCTCTCTCTCTCACCCTCTCTCTCTCTCTCTCTCTCAAATAAATAAATAAAATCTTTAAAAAAAAGGGTTCACATGAAATTGATGTATTAATGTATTAATGATGTATTAATAAGATAGAATACTCCTGAAACTTCTCCTGATAGATATTACAAACCTCAATGTATGAAGACAAGATTCTGTGTTCATAAAAAGGGCTTGTGTGTTTTCAGTAAGGTGGCGCTCCGGCGGTCAAGTGGAATGGATGAGACTGGAGAAATTGTGTGGTATTTAGCACTTTGTCTTCTTCTGGCTTGGCTCATAGTTGGAGCAGCGCTATTTAAAGGGATCAAGTCTTCTGGCAAGGTAATTTGGAAAACACATTAGGTAGTGTTGTAGCTCTTTTCCAATTTCATTGCAGTTCAATGTCAAGCATAATCAAATGCATGTTTTTTTCTATAATGAGAACATTTGAATGTGTGAAAAGCTTTCTAAGTAGGCAGCCTAGCTGTAAGAAAATACATAAGATCTCTGCTCCTAGTAGAAACACAACAAAACAAGCAAAAACTAGTACTAGGATCATGCAATTATAGCTGACCCTTGAACAACGTGGCGGTGAGGGGTGCCAACCCCCACCGCAGTTGAAAATCCAGCTATAACTTTTGACTCCCCCACAATGACCAGAAGCCTTTCTGATAATCTAAAGTCAATTAACACCTATTTTAGTATGTTTTTTATATATATTATATATATATATATATACATATATATATAAAATCATCTGCCTTATTCTTATAAGAAAGTAAGCTAGAGAAAAGGCAATGTTATGAAGAAAATTATAGAACACCCATTTACAGTGCTGTATTTACTGAAAAAAAAAATCCTCGTCTACGTGGACCCACATAGTTCAAGCCTGTGTTGTTCAGGAGTCAGCTGTACTTACAGAAGTTGGACCCCGCTAGCTAATATAGCATTCAGAGGCTCAAGTGTCTATTTTAATTAGCAATAATCGCGCCTCGGATAAACCTCATTGGCTACGATACTGCCACTGCGCAAAGCTCAAGTGTCTATTTTAAAATTGTGTCACCTATTATATAAATAAGCATCTTGGATGGAATTATATATTGCAGTGTTTGGTTTGGCAAGTCTAGATTCTCGTTATATAGGGTTAGTGTCAGGATTCCTTCAATGAGAAAGAGGAAAAAAAAATCAAATATGCAGTCATTCTCTTTAAGCTACGGTACCCAGAAAAGTGAGTATTTATGTGTAACTACTAAACTGGAATCTCCTTAACGAGATTAAAGAGATAGTGGCTACTATCTTTGTATTCTGGATATAATATCTAGCACGTTTAGTTAATGCTAAATTATGGAGACACTCTGTTTAGATCAGAGAAATCCAGTGGGCCTCACAAAGTCAGTGGAAACTTTCCAAAATAATGTTTCAGTTGCACATTTTTGAAACCTGCGGTTCCTTTTTGATGTTAATATTGAAATAATCCATTAAAGGCCATTTGCCTAGGCGATTAATTTTTATTGGTCTCTGGATGACTTTAAATTGTCTCCTTGGGCATATTATCAAACATAGGACATCTATGGATCAAAGAAATTGTCCACATTAATGAAAAGCCGGTCTCAAGGGCAATCTGCTCATCTGGAACCGTGTGTTATCCAGGATCCAAGTACACTGCAACGTGTGTTATCAAACTCTTTTAATGGTTGCTCTAAGGATAATAGTATCAAGTGTTCGGTATTCACTTTAATCAACTTTCATGGGATTTGGACATCTACTAGGAGATTATGTTCCTCCTCCTTGGGGACTGAGTATATACTAACTATCGCAGGTATAAAATCATTTCCCTTCCCACCTCAATGCAGTAATTTACCAAGAAGTGATATTCAGTCCCTTCAGACATTTATAAAGACACATTTAGGAAAGCACTCTACCTCAATTCCCAGTTACCACGGCTGATGTACTGTTTATTTACAATGCGAACTCAGGAAATATTGCTTCATACATCAGAGTGTTTTGAAAAGGGATCATCAGAGAGTGGGGAGAAGAGAAAGAGAAAATGATGCCAGTTTGGGTAATGGTATCACCAGGTTTGTTGAGAACCTACGAAATCTTTAATACTTTATTCTAATAATGTTAACTGGTTAATGACTTTGTTCATATAGAATTATATAATGGGCCTTACAATTTTAACTTACTCACCTCTGGTTGTTTTTCTTGGTAGGTGGTATATTTCACAGCCATTTTCCCCTATGTTGTCCTGCTCATCCTTCTAATCCGGGGCGCGACTCTGGAGGGTGCATCGAAAGGCATTTCTTACTATATTGGAGCACAGTCAAATTTTACAAAACTTAGGGAAGCCGAGGTAAGACATCATTTGGATTTCAAATGATCTGAGGAGGTAAACCTTAAAATCCAACACTGAAAATCTTTGGTTGCATATGAGTGTCATCATGTTGTGGTTGGCAAAAGAATAATGCAGTTAAATGTATTAGTGTTTCTGTCCACAGGAAGTCCGGTGGAGCCATTTAACATGACACTAGTGCTTTCCTTTTAGAAGTGAGATAATCATTTTTAGCAGTAAGGTTTTAGAAGTCACATTATTCATATAACTGATTCTATTTGACCAAAAGCATTTGAGGCGTGTTAACCTGACAAAGCACCTTTCACATTGGGACCCCGACCTACAAGTTGATGACTAGTATGGTGAGACTTCTTGGATAAACTCAGAGATCTCAAGATTATAGGTGAAAGCCTAATGGTCTAAGACATATTTTCATTGTCTTCCAAAGTTAATATCCCCAAGTTAAGATCAAAGTGTCCTTAATGGGTTAGGAAGTTAAACCACAACTTTGAAATGAATGAAGCATTCCATAAATGAAACTGTTACTTGCCATGGATATGAATTGGGTAACCCTCTTTTAACTTTAATTGATTGCCAGATAATGGCTGTATGTATCAGAGATACGTAAAATCTTTTACACTTTTGACTGCAGAGACCATATAGAATGGTCTATATAGGATGGTTCTATTCACACAGCCCAAGAATGGTTTCACTTTGTCAGTAATCACATCACATGCTTGGCACACATTAAGCTTCTGGCCAACTAAAACACCAGGTCTTATGCTGAAGTCAAGGAACACTATGTTACTATTATTTTCCTAACTAGCAGTGCTATCCAAAATGGATATTGAGTCTTTGAGGAACTGGTGCTAATTTCCAGCAATTTGCCTTTTTCTAAATACTTACAGTCTGGATATTTTTTTAAAGATTTTATTTATTTAGAGAGAGATCATGCAGGGGGAGAAGCGGAGTGAGAGAGAGAATCTCAAGCTGACTCCACATTCAGCATGAAGCCTGACCCTGGGCTCGATCTCATGACCCTGCGATCATGACCTGAGCCAAAATCAAGAGTCCAAGGCTTAACCCACTGAGCTACCCAGGCACCCCAGAATCTGGATATTATTTGTTGTAGAATTTTTCTGGTAATCAGTTTTTAGTCATGGCAATCCATCCTTTACTTTTTTTTTTTTTTGAAAACTTCTTTTCAAAAAATTGGTTTCCTATACCCAAATAATTTTCACTCAGTAATTAACCACAACAGCCTTAAATTATTTTATAACTATGAACTTTTATTATTTTGGTCTTGGAGATTAATGTAGTTTGATGTGTCCACAGGCCATTTGTTTATTTCTTCATTTATCTTGGGCCTCACATCTTTTAACCTTGTTTGTTAATATCTTCCCAACTCGAAGACCATTTTCTGTGATGAATAAGAAACAAATAAAATGGAAGCTGGGATTCATCATCTTCTCTCTGTTAGGTTGTTAAACAAGATAAAATATTAATTAATGCATTTATAATATGGTATACTGTTATATAAATATGAGCACACAGTGATTTCAATTATTGCTGTTATATTATGCCCTACTATTATTAATGCAACATTTTCCCCAGAAGTGGACCTCCATTTTATTTAAACTTCTTAACTTTGGGCACAGGTGAACTGCCCCTTTGATAGTCTTTAAGTGATTATTCTAAGCCTCAGATCACCTGAGCTTTATAGTTCCTGAAAATTTTATACGATTATTTTAAATTGGTCTGTTTCAGTGTCTCTGTTACCTTTAAGATATCAGACCTAAACCTAAAGTTCCCTTGGAAACATACAACTTTATCCTCCCTCCTCTACACCCTGATTCAAACAGTACTTCCCCATTCCTTCTTTGGGTTTGCTGGTAATGAGAATTTTTTCCTAGATCTTTTAATTTCTCACAATCCATATTCTGAGCATGAGGTCATAAATATATACTTTTTCCTTTTCTTTGAATATCTGAACTTTGTTACAATCTTTAGGAGAGCAGAGAACCATACAAATTTATAGCAAGAAGTGTCTTCTGGTCTTCAGTGATTATTTTTCACAGTGACGACATTGACACCAGAAGGATTCACATGTACTTAAATTTACACAGCCAGTTTGTGCATCTTGAATTAAGATTTTTCTAATCTCTAAATTAGTAATTTTGTATATAGCTATGAGATTGATAGATATGAAGATTAGAACTATGTTTGGAGTTTTGCTTCACTTTATTTGCTACCTAGGTACACATCTTGGTCTGCAGCAGCATTTTGATAGAACCCAGACCTGCTACATCAATTTCCAGCTCCCCCTAACTCACATATGAATACAAAATGTATCAAGTAAAAGCAGCTGAGAGATCAACATAAGCATGTTGTTCATCTCTTAATATGTACCTAAGAAATAAGAGCATTTTCTTTGTAATGATTTTGTTATAAGTGAAATTACATCTGTCTATCTCTTCTTTCCGTCCGTCCGTCCAGCCATCCATCCACTTTGCTTTCTACTGGCTGCCTGCCAGTATAAAGCAATTATAATGTAATAATAATCTAATATCAAGCTGTATTCTGAAGACCTAGTAAATTCTACTCTCTCACAACTTATATTTCTATTGAAATTGGAAATGGATTACATACCTTTCCAGGGGGAGATTATAGTTTTTAATTTCCGTAAAAGAAATTGAGTATCATTTTATGATCATTTTCCATAATAATAGCTACCATTGAGCATGCTAATTGCTTTACATATGCTATCTTATTCAATTCTCACATCATTCTTAGTACACTTTTATCATCACCATCATCATCTTCATCATCTCCATTTCACAGAACAACAAACAGGCTTAAAAATGTTAGATAAATTGAAGTCAAGGAGAGTAAGTCATTCTTTTTGACTCCAGAGTTAGAGCTCTTTGTCGCCATGTTATATTGCCTGCTTTTCACTGAGCAGTTCTGTTTTTCAATGGACAAAAAACAAACAGAAAAATAACACTTTTGCCCAAATATTTGGCAATCTATTTGAAATCTACACAATTAGGTTTTTTCTTTCGTATTGTTATATCAACAGAATTTCACTGTTAATATGGATTTGCTTAGATTCATTTCTAAGATTATTGTCCTTTAGCAAAGATACAGGAGGGGTAAACTGTAAAAGGCAGACTAGAAAAAGGCTCGGATTAGATGGAGTGAGTGAGAGGCCGCTTAAAGAGTTGAGGCCGGCTCCGTGAGGCTCTAATCCAACAAATGGGATGAGGGAACTAGTGATCTAAATATATCATCGTTCTTCAAAAATTACCTAGTATTGTCCTTGTTAAGAATGGATATGTAGCTCTCATCTCTAAATTGGTATGAAGAGTCAATAGAATTTTAATCAGATTGACAGCACAGTTTTCCTTAGATCCCGAGAATGGATTGTAAAATTTATGTGAAAGAGAAAAAGAAAAAAAAAAAAAAGGTGTTTCTAAAGAAGGAAGACTTGTCCTGCCAGATATGAAATAATATTATAATGCTATAGGAATTAAAATAAAGTGGTGTTAGCATATAGACTTATAGGCCAGTCTCAGAAATAGATTCATGAACATTTGGAACTTGCTATGTGGCAGAGGTGGCAATGAAGACCAATGGGGAAAGGATGGACTATCTACTTCAGATAACTGACATCCAAGTGATATAACTGGTAGTATCAATTATCCTTAGACAATTGATACTCCATTTAGAAAAGAAAATGAATTGGGCTTTCCACTTTAATATGTACTGTACCAATTTTTCAGGTTAATTGAAGATAATATGAACAAAGCTTTAAATCTTTTAGAAGAAAATGTAGGACAGTATCTACGATCTTCGGCTAAAGATGTCTTTTTAAGTCAGAGAAATCAAGGACAATACAGTAAAGCAAAGATGGGCACTTTCAGTTACATTAAAACAACGATAAAATCTTTGGCTTATCAAAGGTCACAATGTTAAGAGGCAAAAAGAGTAAGCCACAAATTAGGAGGAAAAATAACATATATAACAGACAAAGGATTAGAACCCAGCATAAGTAAAGAATTTCTAGAGATTAAAGAAGACAAATAACCCAAACAAAAAATTGGCAAAAGACATGAGCAGGAATTTTACAAAGAAAAAAAAAACCTGTGGAATATAAAGACATAAAAGCATACTAAACCTTGTAAAGTAATTAGGGTAATGAAAACTCTCACTTGACAGCCACCAGATTGGAGAATATTAAAAATTCTGACTAATATTGGCAAGAATGTGAAGGAATGGGAGCTCTCACACCTAGCTGGTGAGAGTCCAAAGCAGTAGAATAATGTGGCAGTATTTCATGAAAGAGAAGATGCGTATACTCTTCGACATCATCACAGTTCCTCAACTCGGTATAAGGAGACACATACGGGAATACTTAGAGCTACATCACTTTTAATAGCAGAATATCGAGCCACCTCAATGTTCCTCAACAGGATAGAGGATGATCTGTGGTATATACAGTGGGGCAACACGGCAGTGAAAAAAAAATGTTCAAAACTACATATATTTAGCTAAACCACATGAATTTGTCTATATTTTTCAGTTTTGACACAAAATTGAAATTTCATACGGTTCAAACTGAAAACGAGTACCGCTCATACAATACTGAATGAAAAGAGGCAAGATGTATAGGTTTATATGCATGAAGAAAACTTTTCTATCGACTCCAGAACATGAAAAGCTAAATACCATATTGTTTTGGGTTTACATGTTTCTAGGGTAAAAATCTAAAGGAAAAGGAGGAAATGAGAAACCCAAAAGTCAGGATAGCGGTTAGCACTGGAGGGGGAAGGGTGATCTATCTGATCAGAAGGGGGCACTGGAAGGCTTCCAAAGACTGGTAACATGTCATTTTTTAAGCTGAGCAGTGGGTTTGGTTTTTTGGTGCTTTTTCATTGTTATTCGTATTTATTCATTTGTATATATGATGTCTTTTGTAGAAGTAAAAAATTTAAAGTGTATGTTTTTAAAGATGAAATTGTCTTCTCTTATAGGTTTGGAAGGATGCTGCCACTCAAATATTTTACTCCCTTTCAGTGGCTTGGGGTGGCTTAGTTGCTCTATCATCTTATAATAAGTTCAATAACAACTGCTTCTCAGATGCTATTGTAGTTTGTTTGACAAACTGCCTCACTAGTGTGTTCGCTGGATTTGCTATTTTTTCTATATTGGGACACATGGCTCATATATCTGGAAAGGAAGTCTCTCAAGTCGTAAAATCAGGTATGTGGTGCTATACACTAATAACTTTGATTAATTCGGTGTAGCTCATTTAAGAAACACTAATATAACTTATGGCAATTTACTTAAAGCACTCAAGCAAGGTTTAGGGTGTTGCATTTTCTTTCTCATGTCCTCTTATATAATTTGATTACTTTAATGATGTAATAATTTTTAGATGGTTGGAGAAAGCAGGGCTCTATTAGGGAACAATTGTTTAAGAAGATAATTTTCTGAATTTTGTGTAGTTCTTAATATGAATTGCTTACTGTACAAGTGTCAGGCATCATGGATCCCTTTATATGTGTTACCTTCATTTATGTATGTATGTATATACATGTGTGTGTATTCATATATCTATGACTGCATGAGAGCATATATGTGAGTGTGTGTGTGTGTATTCCCCCATGTACAAGTGCAACCTTGGGTCTGAATTTTTAAAACACATTAATATCATATAGATAGAAACCCAGGTAAATTTGAATGTCCAGCTGTGTTCAGCTTTAAAGGAATCTGAATAATGAACTTCCTAACTTTAAAGACATTAGCTAGGGATGCTTAATTATCTGGCTAAGATTCTTAGGAAAAGAATTCTGGTGTTCTTAGTAGTAGGAATCCCTCATTAAATTTTTTTTCATGGGCAGTATCATTTGATGGCAGAATGTTAGGACTAGATAAATTAGTGTCCAGCATGTCTTGCAGATTAAATCATTGGAAGTGACAGAGCCTAGACTGAAGCTCATTCTTCTGACTCCTAGGTCAGTCCTCTGGGAGTCTGGAGAAACTTAAAATACTTAAAAAAACAAAGTATCACATAATATGATTGAAAAAAGAATTAAAACACCTCTAACAATAATGTACATGAAATAGAAAATAAGATTCAATTTCTAGTTTTGTTATATACAATTTTGCAAGTGTCCACATATGAATTAAAATGGCACTACGGCTAGTGATTCTGGGTGAACATTTGGAAAGACAGCTGAAGACTAAAAAGGTAGTTCCGTAAGCACAGCTTTCTTGATAGTGTGATTCTCTTAAAATTTCTAGGCTTAATTTAGGTTTCTGGAGTTTAAGACAGTTGTTACTCTTTATGAGTCTCTAAAAAAATGAAATAGGTGAAACAAAATCATTGGAATAGTTAAGATTTCTTATGTGAGCAATGTACCATTTACAAAATTCATCTCACTAGCTTAATTCATATCACATGCTCACATTATCACTTCATTGAACAATCAAGTCAAATATTTTAAAAAGTGCAAGTGAAATAGTTGCCCAAGAATGTGTATCATGGATTGTGTCGCCAAATTAAAATGTAATTTTTCTAGTATCTTATTTTGAAAATGTCCAAATGTGTGAGCTTTTTGGCAACTAATTTAAGTGAAGTGTCATACATTTTTCTTAGGTTTTGATTTGGCATTCATTGCTTATCCAGAAGCTCTAGCCCAACTCCCATGGGGGCCATTTTGGTCCATATTATTTTTCTTCATGCTTTTGACTTTGGGTCTCGACTCTCAGTTTGCATCCATTGGTAAGTAATGCTCCCGGTGTTACCATATCCCTCTTCTATTTCACTCATGTTTCCTCTACTTAAAAACATCCTTTTCTTACCCTTGTTGTCCCCATTAGCTCTTACTCTTAGAATCTGAAAATTCTTTTTCACTCGATTTTAAATACAGAAAAGTACAAAGTACTCATGCAGTAGATACCCCAAAGGAACTCTTATTAATATTTTATATTTGCCTCGGAAATGAAATTGAAGTCCCCTCTGTTTCTCTCCCTAATACGATTCACATTTCTTCCTTCCTAAAAGCAACTGTCACCATGGCTTATGTGTGTCATCCAGTCCATGTCTGTATCTGTTATATATGTATCCATAAATAACATATAAATGTTTTCACATAAATGTGAAGTTTCATAACACATGTATCATTCTGTTTTTTACATGTATTGTGAATCTGTGTTGATATAATACTCATATAGATTGAGCTAATTCATAGTCTTTTGCCATAATGATGGGCATCTGGGTCATTTCCAATTCTGACAAATGACACATGCTACTGCAATGATTGTTTTTGCACGTGGCTCTATGTACACATAGGGATTTTCCCTATGGTACACACCTAGACGTTCCAAAACACTATTCATCAGATCAGTCTTACATAACACACTTTAAAAATTGACTAAGATATAGTATAAAGTCTGGCCTCCTCCAGTTGACTTTCAAAGCCTTGGAAATTTCAGCTTGTATCTTAATCCTCTCACCCCCACATCCTTCTGTTTTCAGCCAGTACTCTGTTTCATGAACATATTTATTTCTTAAACCTAGAAGGCCTTTCTGTTTCCATGCCATTTATTCAAATATTCACCTTTTTTAAAAGTTCTCCTAGAATTCTTCCTTTCCCGTAACCCTCTTCCAAACTACGTCAGCCCTCAGGGATCTGTTACCTTGTAGTTACTACCAAAACCTTGTAAAACAGACTAAAAACAACAAAGAAAGAGAGCAGAATTTGGTTTTTATCTGAACCAACAACTGGTGACTGCCAAGAGAAAGAACCCTATGGATTTTCAAAAGCAAGGGGTAGGCACTGGGTGTGATAGGCAACTGATGAATCACTGAACTCTACCTCTGAAACTAGTTAATTGAATTTAAATAAAATAAAACTTAAAAATAAATACATAAAGCACTTCATTTAGGGGAAAACAAACAAACAAACAAAAGGAATAGGACCCAGAGTATATTTTCAGCATATATTTGTAAATTTGATTAATAGAAGTTGAATTCTTTGATTAAAATTACTGGCAAATGAGTTGACCTATGACATGTCATTTTTTTTCCCCTTCTGAAGAAACAATTACAACAACAATTCAAGATTTATTTCCCAAAGTGATGAAGAAAATGAGAGTTCCTATAACTTTGGGTTGCTGCTTGGTTTTGTTTCTCCTTGGTCTCGTCTGTGTAACTCAGGTATTACTACAGTATTTTTTCATAGACAAATCGTTAGTTGCAACGTACTTTATAATCTAAATGAGGAAAACAAAGGTTCAACAGGATGTTAGAGACAAGTCCAAGTGTGACTCAGCTCAGGATTTTCTGAGTTTTAGCCCAGAGTTTTTCCCCATTGCAGTACAATTTCGATAGCTAAGTATACTGTGAAGAGGGCAGGAGACCCAATAATGGACAATTCCCCAATTACAATAAAGTTATAGACTTTAAACACATACTGTATCTTTTGGCAACTACCACACAGCACACAGACACTGCATATCATTTTGACCAACTATTCTCGATGCTTTTTTCCCCAGTGACTCAGTATAGGATGAAAGGTGCATCCTTTTTGAGATATTTAAAGCCACATTTGTGTTTACGTTTGAAAATACTCCTTTTTCTCATCTTAGCACAGGTGAAACCAAGAAGCACATGTTAAGATCAAATGAATAGATTTGATATAAAGACTTCATCAGTCATAAAAGTAATTAAAAATATACTTAGATGTAATTTTTTTTTTGTAGGCTGGAATTTACTGGGTGCATCTGATTGACCACTTCTGTGCTGGATGGGGCATTTTGATTGCGGCTATACTGGAAATAATGGGGATCATCTGGATTTATGGTACATAGTAACTACAGAATTATCTACACATCTTATTAAAATAATTTAGTGTGATTATTTTCATTATGTTTACTAAAATTGTAAAGTAGAATATTACTGGAAAAATTGATTAGGAATAAAATGTAGTTAAAGGTGTATACTTCATTGCTATAGTATAAGAAAATGTTTAGACAGAAAGATAATTTGGGGCCACAATGATTAATGGAGGAAAACATGAGCAAGAACTGAATGCACTCTTTTTTTTTTTTTTTTTGGTCTAAGGCGGGAACAGATTTATTGAAGATATAGAAATGATGATTGGTGCAAAAAGATGGATATTCTGGCTATGGTGGAGAGCCTGCTGGTTCGTCATTACACCTCTTCTTCTGATTGTAAGTATTAATATGTCATGAATTTGGCACCAATGATATGCATATATTTGAACATTTCTAAGATAAACTTGAACAATTCAGATTGAAGACAATAAGGCAAACTAGGATCATAAATTAATGACTTCCAACTTTTGCTTTATAACTGCAAGTTGCCTCAGTTAAAATGCCTTTGCAGTATTGTTTTTGGGGCCATAGGTTTAAACACTTACCATTTGAGAAAATGAACAGGCTCCTATAGACTTAAAGGTCTTATGTACTTAAAAATTATCAGTAGAATAAATAAAAATAAATCATTTGTCTGCCGTTCCCTAAAAAGTATGCTGAGTTATCTGCAATGTTCCTAACCTCTCTGCTAAGGCCCAGACTCAGCCTTCAAGGCCTGTGATCTAAATATACTAATTGCTAAGAAACACTCACATTTTAATCCATTATTTTTTTCCTTATGGGAGGGATTTGCTATCTGAAATTACTAAAAGAAACTCACCCCTGTCAACAGAGGCAATAGTTTATGTTAAATTCAACAATTGGTGCTATTTAGGAACTGAGGGAAAGACAGACCCGGCATATAGACATGATGTCGTTAAAGAACAGTTCAGGGCAGTCAATAACAAAATAAACACTTAATAGGATGGAGAATTACTGCAGTGGTAGAGGTTCGGGAGTCACAAAGATTCATAGAGGATGTGTTTTGGTTCTCATTGTCTCCATGCTTCCATTAAATAATTTGATCCGGAATTTGCTTCACACCTGAAGTATTATTGTTGTTTTAGAGGGTGTTAAGTTTTATTTTTTCTCACATTTTTTAAGGTCAGCTTCAAGCAGGGAGCAGTTTGGGACTGGGTGTACTGAACTAAAATATTTTGGATGCTCCATATTCTAACTAAATGATTTAGACAGTGGTACTAAAGATTGTTTTCCTCTTCTGACAATTCTCCATAATAAAATAAACCCTTTGTCAATTAAGAAGCTCTCACTAGACTTTTAGCCAGCTAGTTTTTATTGACTATATAGCTTTGACAACTGGATTTAATTTCAAATGTAAAAGCATTAAATATTAAATGATATACATTATCATCTATTTTGTATAAAAGGATGTGAAGTGATATGTACTCCAGTATCCCTCATCCATTCTCTTGTAGCTATGTAAAAAATTACGGTAACTGGGAAATACATCTAAATTACTGTAATTAAGTAGAATTAATCTATTTTAAAATTAAACTCGAATACCTATTTGATAAAAATTCTTACATTCCATTTCCTCACTTTTAGTAAAACCTAGACAGTTAAATAATTTAGAGAAACTACTAGGTGACTCTGGTTCTTGTTTACTTTCTTTTGTTTGATTTACAGATTTCTAAATAATTAGTTTTAATGCTGCAACATGTCTAGTAGGTTTCTTTTTTAAAGATTTTATTATTTATTTGACAGACAGAGATCACAAGTAGGCAGAGAGGCAGGCAGAGTGGGGGGGAGGGGGAAGCAGGCTCCCTGCTGAGCAGAGCACGCGATGTGGGACTCCATCCCAGGACCCTGAGATCATGACCTGAGCCGAAGGCAGAGGCTTTAACCCACTGAGCCACCCAGGCGCCCCACTAGTAGGTTTTTTTAAAGAGGTTTTTTGTTTTGTTTTGTTTGTTTGTTTGTTTTTTGCCTTTGCTTACAAGTTTTTTCCTTGTTAAGATTCAGATTTCACTGTTTTACCCAAGCACACCTTGAGTTTGTTTTTCTCTCAAAGAGAGGCTAGAAGTGAAGTGTGCTTTAGCAAATATGCACCAGTAGCGTGTGAATGTGTCTGTGTTTTGGGTGTGGAGTAAGGGGTGCTCTGTGCAGTGGGAAATAATAGAAACATCTGCTAAGCAAGGAGCAAAGCATTTTCACTAAAGGGTACTTTATGTTTTCCTTGAATTTATATGCTGGCTAGCTTATAGCATAGAATAAAACCATACTGTTATAAGTGAAAGTTAAAATTTCAATTGTGGAAATTGTTCAGATATTATTTTATTTTCAATCTGAAATATTTCATGGTAAAGTAGTTTATTGAAAAACATGTTGGACCAGTATTTCTATCTTTTATAAATATATGGAGGTGCTCATTTTGGAAGAATCTATTCAAAGCCAAATACAAGGTATTTAGATCAGTACACTTAGTATTATCTTCTGGCTAGTTACTGGATTATCTTAGTTTCTTGACTGTATCTCCATTTTAATTGCTTTTGATAGACTATTTCTAAGAATGGGATCAAATTCCTAATCATTAGTGCAATTGAAATCATTAGGGCAACAAAGTCTAATCTTCAGCATTGTCTCTTCATATTTTACTTTCACAGGCAATTTTGATCTGGTCACTGGTGAAATTTCATAGGCCTGAGTATGCCAAAATTCCATACCCTGACTGGGGAGTTGCTCTAGGCTGGTGTATGATTATTTTCTGCATTATTTGGATTCCAATTATGGCTGTCATAAAAATAATTCAAGCTGAAGGAAATATCTTTCAAGTAAGCACATTTATATTATTTATACTTTATAGAAAGCCCTTATCAAAATGAAGATTACTCATATGGTGGTAATATGGGGTTATGAACCTTTAGGCAACTTCTACACCTGATATAATCATCTGATTCCCATGTGCATAGCATAGCTTTACGCCACGTATCTATTTGCGTGTCTCATACTAGACTCTAAACTCCTTCAGGGAGAGTCTTACGTTGCTTGCTGCTATGTCCTCAGGCACTATGAGAGTGCTTAGCATGTAGAAGTTATATTTATACTTGTACTGAGTTGTCCCTGAAGATGGTGCAAAACAAATGAACATTTTGCTTTATATCTATAATCTTCAAATACATTGTCTGGTTATAACACATGTCTTCATAGTGTGTTTAGACTGAAAAAACCTGGTAAATTGTTTCAAACCCAGTCTATACCCCGAGTGATCCTTCTTGCATGGAGGTGTAGGCAGATGGAGTTGATTATGACATCTTACTAGGACAATGACAAGGATAAATACTCGGGAGTCAAATTTTTAGATAATTTCCTAAGCCCACCCTGATCAATGGTTTGACCCTGGAGCTCCTTTGTTTGGTTCTTGAAACCTCCCGAGTATTCACTTGTTTAAATCCTCACCTAACCCTCCCTCTAGGGGCAGGACAGAAACGTCAGACAATTCAGTGAAAATACGTGGATTGATTCCGTTGTTTAAAGGGGCTCATACACTTTCTTTTAAAATCATTTACGTATTCATCAGTTATTCTGGTTTCGTAGTTCATGTGATTCTAGTTACGGTTAAATTTGGGTATCTTTTTTTTAGTATACTCTGTTAAGAATTCTGATGATCACTTTTTTTTTTTAACCTTTCTATGGTTCCTATTTCATTTTGGTTAGCAAAGAAACTTAATAATATGGTTTGGTATTTGTTTGTTTACAGATTTTAACACTTATGGTCTGAAACAAGTTCTTTTTTTTTCTTTTTAGCGCATTGTAAACTGCTGCAGACCAGCTTCTAACTGGGGTCCATACCTGGAACGACATCGTGGGGAGAGATATAAAGATATGGTAGATCCTAAAAAAGAGACTGACTATGAAATACCTACAGTTAGTGGCAACAGAAAACCAGAATGAAATCCAATTTTTAAAAATATGTGGTCATACAATGTGATTATTTTAGAACAGAGGAAAATTTTATTTATTTTTATGTTAACTTAGTAGAAAAATGTATATACCATGCTCATGATAGTGTAAGCTTTCCCCCCCAATTTAAGTAAGAATGTAATATAATGGGAATCTACTAATATTTAACAATGTGATTATTATATTTTTTAGATTATCTATCTGTATAACACACATATAGCTGTCTCTGTGTCACAGTAACACTTTTGTAAATATTACGTTATTTTTCTAACATACCGAAGACTTTATTTTGAGCCGGTTATTTAGAAAATTGTTTTATTTTCTATTATACAAGTTTTAAAATACAATTTGCTTATATTTTCTTAGTATACAATCTTTCTTTTCCATAAAGCTGGGGAAAATAAACCAGTATATTTAAAAGAAAGTGTTAAAATTGAAGGCCTCATTTAACTAGAAATGCTATACATAGGTGAAAAAATGTACTGTATATATGAGCACTGTAGTTTAATACTTTTAATCCAAATATATCTAAAATTTTGCTTTTTCTATGTGAACTTAGTGGTTATTGTTCTTTACTTACAAATAGTGAAATAAGACAGGAAAATAAGAATTCTATGGCCAGTAAATGATAAATCTAGCAAATGGAATCCTGGAGCTTTGAGTACTTCTTGCCCCCAAATAATGTCTTCCTTAAGACATTCCTTAAGTCTTCCTTGCCCCAAATAATAATTCTTCCTGAGCAATTGGAAGAATATGTCTCCCACCTGATTTCTGTTTCACAAAATTAAGAGTTGTTAATTATGCTCTCTGAAATCTAGATTTTCAAATAGAACATGGGACAAATTACTAATGAGGAGATGACTTTCAATCAAATCTAAGATCTTATGATTGTAATATATCATTAATAGATCAGGTAAAATGATTTTTGTCTTATTTGAGTAAGTTTCTACTTACAGGTGATAATTTATTTACACACTTAAAGGAGATAAACTTGTCAAACTTGTCAAGTATGAGAGAAGGCAAATTACAAAATCCTATGTCCCAGTTTCATTTAAAAAAAGATAATGAAAACGTGTCATTAATAGGCTTATATGTTGATATTATTGACCACTGGTTTAAACATCACAGCCTAGGATAGTGAACAGTGCCTAAATATGTAAGAAACTTCTCAGCTGTTCTTAAGGCTCTTATCCTGGGCTTCAGAGAACATATGAAACCAACATTATACACAATATTTTTCTATGTGAATGTGTACACGCATTTTTCTAGGGAGAGAGTCTAGAGTTTTCATAAGAATACCAAAGAGATCTGTGACTCAAAAAAGTTTAAGAACCACATATACTACTACTTCTGGCTTTTTGTCCTCAGTAAGTGAGGAATAAACCTTAATTTCTGATACATTTTAAATTCCTTTTCCTTTTCCCTTTGATTGAAGATTAAAGGAGTAAGGGATTAAGGTATTTAATTTATACTGGTAATTTATTTTGGGGAGAAGGGGCACGAAGGTAGGTAAACAGGCCTATAATGGAAAAACCTCAGTGAGCTATGTACACATATATTAAATGAACCTGTGTGTTAGATATTCTGAGGAGTCTGAGGGTAAGTCAAATGCCATTAGTGAACTTCAACAGATTGTTAATTCCTCGGTTACACTGGATTTTATAAAATATTTGAAATAGATGAATGACTAGAGTTAAACACTTTTTCTTCATTTTAACCCATATTACATTACATGCATTCTATCATTCTATTTTGGTGCTATCTGAGGTGTCAATTTTCCACCCACTAGAAAAAGGTATGCCCTTTTCTATAGGTGATTCTTGTAATTCAGGGAAGATTTAGGCACATTTCTATCAAATTGGTGGAGGAGAGGATGATGGGGAAGAAAACCCCTTCAAGAGTTGACTACAAAGAGTAAAGTTTGTGTGACTGTCTTCATAAGTGTCTAAGGCCAGATCTTAACAGTGCCTGGCATATTTTAGGGTGCTCAATGATAGCTCTTATTACAGATTTGACAGTGGTAAGAGAGTATTCTATATAATAGAGTTCCATCAAATCCCATTTACTTGAATGCAATAAGACATTTGCAATATTGTGTTGTACACCAAAACTATTTCTCACGTGTGAGTGAAATGGAAATCACCATATCTCAACTATATTCTTTTTGCTGTAGCTTATTTTTTAAATGCAAAACTTAGGAACTGTTTCTTTCTCTACTGTACTTTCATTCTTTCCCCAGTAAAACATATATATATATATATATATATATATACACGCACACATATATGTTTATACATGTTTATAAACTTGTCAAACTTGTATATATATATAAAATATATAAATGTATAAGTATATAAAATATGTAATCGATTCTTTAAATGTCAGTAAAAGCAAATTGATAAATGTCTGGATTTTGTACCTGACTTGGCATCCCCTCCCCCTTTTTCAACAACAATTCATTTGGTATAAACACGTATAATCAAATGAATTCACTCAAAGTGCCTTTAATGATTGCCTTCACTGTTACGACATTCTCTAAGCCTGTCAGATTTCCAGTTAACTAATGCACCATTTAAGCCCTTGATAACTAGGAAATGTTCCAATTCAGCCAGCTTGTATTCCACGATCCTGAGGTTTACCAGTATTCGCTTCTGCATGGTTATCATGTGTGGGGAATTAATTAAGATATCCCGAGAGAGGCTGGTGACTGAAAGACTCTTATCAGTATTGCTCTTAGTTGACCCAGTAGAAGAGGTTGGTCTTACTAGTGCAAGAGAAGTCGAATTTGATGACATTTCACCAACGCTGCTCTGTAAGGGAAGGAAATTATACATATTTAGTTTATTGAATTTAGCAATTTCCAAATACAGTTGACCTTTGAACAAGGTGGGGGCGTTAAAGACATCGATTCTCTGTATAAAAACCCATGTATAACTTTTGCCTCTCCCAAAAGTTAACCCTAATAGCCTAGTGTTGACCAGAAGCCTTACAGATAAGTTGATTAACACATATTTTGTATATGTGTTATATACTGTATTTGTACAATAAAGTAAGCTAGAGGAAAGAAAATGTTATTAAGAAAATCATAAGAAAGAGAAAATATGTTTGAAGTACTGTATCCAAAAAAGAAAGAGTAAAGACCCTTGGAGTTCAAACCTATGTTGCTCAAGGGTCTACAGTACTACCAAATAACATGCCTAATTAGTCTTGGTTACCAAAATAAACTGATTGTCCTCCCCTAAGAATTAGAGATTGAAAATCTGTTGAACAACAATGTTTATCTGGAAATATGCCCTTCCAAAACACTGAAAAACATGTATATGAAAGTAACCTTTAAATATCAAAATTGTCCTATTTTTGGTTTACATTTCTTGGACAGAAAAGTAGGTCTATACCTGGACCCTAATCCTTAACTAAAAGGATCACCAAAGATCTAAAGTCACTTGCAGCTTTCAACATCACCAGGAAACCCACATTCTGACCTGAATTATTTGTGAAAGCCCAAATACCTGTCATAAAGATGGTTGAAACCATGGGGAAAAGAGGCAAACAAACATAAAGGCTGTAGTAGAAGCTAGAGAAGAGAGAGAAGGTATAGATTCCTAAAATAGGAAGTGGTGGGAAACGGGCACTTTCAGCTCTACTTTTCAAGTGGGTGAAAAGCACACCACATCACTCAATGCTTTTTAAAGCAGACCACAGCTACCCAGTCATTGGTCAATAAGAACAAAGAGTGGGGATAAACATCTGGGGCTCTCGCAAGAGAAGAGGAATGAAATGATCTTCCCTTACCCTTATTTTACTATTTTAGTACCTTTCTACTCTCTCAGACACACACCTCCCATCCATGAACCATCTAACTTCATCTAATTCCAATTTCTCTTACACACTTTACCTGAAAGCGGCTTTTCCAGAAGACAAACAGAAAAGCAAACAGAATGCCGCTCAGTAGAAGCAACAGCATATTCATGTTTCCTCTTCCACTTCTTTTTCTCTTCTCGGGTACGGAGGCACTCGGCTGGCAGTTGGGAAGCAGGGGGACACTAGTCGCCCGGACTAGGGAAGCCGCGGGCAACGATTCTAAGCGTCCCACACTGCCTGGTGCATCTGGAAGACGCTTCCGCTTCCGGCTTTATATACTGCAAAGGGCATGTGATGTCACAGTGGAGCACCTACGTGAGGGCGCTGCGTCACAATTTGATGACGTAAAACCCATAAGCAGGTGGCACGATGTCTGCCTACTTGGTTGTGCTATCAGGTCGGTAGACAGGGAGGGCACTGATAGACACCCGGGGCAGTTGGGATGTCCAGGAAGCTGAAACACGGTAAAAATACAGACTCCAAATTCATTGGTTAAATACAAGATTTTGAAATTGCTCCTCCCTCCTTTTTTTTCTCTTTTAAATTAAAGATAATTTAATTTGTCTTTGCTGCAACCACTCCATTATTCATTTCAAAAACAAGGTCAGAAACGAGATGGAAATGTACTGTGAAAAGTAGTTACCCACAAACCGCGTAAGTCTTTGCCGGAAACCTTTTCCACAGTCCCATTGCTATTTTAGGATTCACTCTGACCCTATTCGCCATTGGGCTAATTATGTACATTAGTGTCACTGTACAGTTTAAAAAGTAATTCTAGAGACATTCTCTCATATAATTCTCACAATAATTTTGTGCTACAGGTATTTTTAAATACTGTGTCTACTTTCAGGTATGCAGAAACAGAATCAGGTATTAAGTAAACTCATTTGAAACTAGTAGCAAAAACAGGCCCTAAATCACAGAATTGAGTCCTGAGGTAAACTCCCTCATTCCCTTGCCCTCTTCCCCATCCTCAGGCCCTCTACTTGTACTTTCTGACTTGTAAGCATCGAGTATTTAATATTTTCCACTCAAGGAATTGAACAGTATATTTGGATTAATATTAATGAGAAGTAACAGATACAGGAATCGTTATACTCAACAGGAAATGTTTCAAGAAACCTGCATAGATGACACTGAACTAAAAACTCAGAACTAAAAGCAATAGCCAGGGTAATCTCAAGATGAATGTCAAACTACAACCCCTAACTGCTTGGGGGAAAGACTCACATCTTCATATGGATAGGAAAGAAAGGAATTATTTACAAATTTTTCACATCAAACTTATTTCCCATTTATGAGTTCAAAGCTTAAAGATTTATTTATTCAATAAGTATGGATTAAACACTCCTGTAAAGACAGGCACTGTAATAAATTCTGGGGATATGATTATGAGCGAAAATA